GACATGATCCGATATGGATTTGTCAGGGATTGACTCGAGTCAATGATGATCTGGTGTATTTGTTCTGGTTCTGTGAGCCGGTCATGGCACATGGACATCTTGCATCCCTTCCTGAGTATGTATTGTGAGCAGAACCAAAAGCTCTTCCAGATTTGCCAGTTATTCTCACCAACATGCGTGGAGAATGTTTGCGCTGAGGTTACCAATAAAAGACTAAAATCATTCCTTGAGCGTTGGCCTAAGAGTAGACCATCAGGTCACGACGACAGGCAGCGAGCACCTCATGTCCAAGCCCAGACCGGTGCATGCGGTTGTAACTGTGGATTTTCATGGCATAAAATTAAATGGCACTTTCAATTATCTAAAATAGATATCTGACATTCACTCATTTTTTGGTCCCTTGTTCTCCTTCTTCTCACAAGCTCAGGACTTTATAACAGCAAGAAATAGAACCATGAAAACCTTCTTTTGGAGAATGTACAGGAAACTAGAAACAGCAACAATTCAAGAAACACTGGGGCAGCTATTCTCACAGAAGTGTTAGGGCAATAACACTAAGGGCCTGTACAATTGCAGGAAATCCCAATTTTTGGATCCACTCATTATTTTTGATTTCTTCAAATCATAAAACCTACTTTCCTTACACCCTCAAAAAAACTCAGAATTGAATGCTCATCATGTTCAAAATGAGTGACCTGTGGTATGTGATTTAAATTTTTCACAGGGAAATTAAATCCACCGCTTGATTTGTGAAAATCAGATGGCACAGTAAAAGTAGTGATAGTGCCCACTCATCTATAGAAATTATTCATTTCTTCTGTCATGGGGTAAAAGGGCTCTACTATAGTATGTATAGGCTGCATGAAATACCTTGAATTTAGGCTTGGAAGTAAATAGTCCAACCTAGTACTAACAAGTCATCTTTTCTTTCAAACTAGGCTCTTTTCTTTCAAACTAGGCAAAGAAAGAAAATTAAGAAAACCAAATCAAATTTATTTGATCAAGATGCTTCTCCCAAAGAAGGGAAGAGAATAATCAAAATCCTAGGAACAGATCTGATATTCTCACCCCCCCCCCTCCCATCTCACAGTTTATATGCCCTCAACAGGTAGAATTTCAATTTTTTTTATCATCTGTGCAGTGTAAATATGAAAAAGTGATGTGAAATTACACAAAGTGACACATATGTAGCAATTTCTTCAACTCTCATCCAAGGCCTGCTCTCAGACAGGAATTGTGATCAGACAACTCAGCATTAAGACCCCACATCTCCTCTTGACTCAATCAATACCATTCAAATCATCAACTTAACTCAACCCTTCTTCTCTTATCTATTGGGGCTCTTCACACCATTCTCTTCTCTTTTATCATTTTTTATTTGATCATCTATGCTTGACTGGGGAGACTTTGATTTGGTAAATATTCACATTGAACTGCTTACTAATAATTTGTTCCATTCCTGTCATAGTATTATCTTGTTGTCTCTTTCTGTTTGATCTCACCACTCACATGATTGTGTCTCCTGAAGCTGTTCTTAGATCCTTTAATCACCCAAAAAGTCCTTCCAGTGCACAGATTATTTCAAAAAAGTAGGCTTAGTATGACATTGAATTTCATATCATTATCAATAGTGGATTTTTTTATTTGTAACATTCAACAACATTTCCTTTTTTTTCTGTTAAAAGTATCAAGCTAATCACCACAAAAAAATTTAGGATACCTGCAGACAGTTGAAATATGGGCTACTGCTGCCTGAATCAAATTCTTACTCCAATTTATTCTGAAGTTGTTTCTTCTGGACAGCCAAAGTGCACAATGACTTTGCATTCAAGTCCAGTTGAGGTAACTGCTGGGTAAGATGAGAGTAAATCCCAGAGGCTACATGCCAACTTCCATCAGTTGTCCTCACTGGTGAAGCATGAAGCAATCATTTAAGTGATAAACCCTGCAAACAAAAGGATAGTGAGTGAATCTTCATCTCATCTGTCAATTTTTTTTTTAAAAAAACAACATCCCATTAACGATAATAGGGACATAATTGGGTCCTCTGCCTGCTATGATGGCCTCATGTGCACAAAGATACACTGGTGAACAAGGACACAGAGCATCAGAATCTGAATTTCACATGGGTGATTTTTTGCAACTGATATTAATCATGCATGCGGTGTGGTAAGCCAATCCTGAAAATCCAAGCACAGCAAGAATACAAATCACACAGGAATCACAGGATCAAGGCACCCCAGAAAGCTCCCCAGACCCTCAAACAAATCAAGACACCACTCATGAATCCCTCAAGCACAGACCACATGGATAATCATATTTTCCAGCCAGAAACTCCCCACCCTTGAAACTCACTCCCTCCAAACATATTCCATTCTTCTTTCTCCTTGTGTCTCACACTAGTAATAATCCCCTTGCCCATGAAACAGTTATTTCCTCCTATCTCCTTCCATGGAATATTTTTTCTCCTTATTTACTTCACACTAGTAACCTTGGGAGCATTTGCCCACTGCCTATTTCCCCTGTTTCTATGGATAAACATATTTTCCCTTGTTTCATGCTCTCATAGAATGTTCCATTTATATTCCAACCACAAGCTGGCCACTCCCCAGAATTTTGTATATAAGGAGCTTTGTTTTCCCTCTTCATTTGTCCCTTATCAGATCCTGCCCCAGCAATTCAGATAACTGATCACCCATTATTAGCCAGGTATTTGCCCATCAACATTTGGGATACCTTGATTTGTGAACAAGTATATTTAGACTAGTAAACATAAGACATATTAGACATACCATCCTCAAGAAATCTCCAAATCCACACCTTTCCTTAAGAGTCCATACTCTTATATTTTCTTGTTATCAGAGAGGCAGCCCAATAAAGCACTCATCCCTCTCAAGCTCTATTCATCCCAAGAGTAGCTCCACAAGTGGTGTCCCAACAGTGGCCCAACAGATCTTTTGGTTTCAGTCACTACCACTTACAGTTTCTATGCTAAATATACAGTCACAGATTAGCTAGTTACTACCAACCCTATTAGAATTCAGAATTTACATACATTATCATTCCCTGCAGAAATCTTCATTGGTAAATCTGCATCAACAAAATATCATTGGAACATCAGCAACAATATTATAACAGTAGAAATCTCAACAACTTCTCCACCACCATGAATTTTCCACCAAGAAGAAACTCCCTGTCTGGACCTACCCCTAGGATCAACATGGCCAATTTGGTCATCCCAGCTTGGAGAGGACAAGTCTTACCCCCTCAACTACCCCCTCACCAGTACTTTAACCCTGGAACCACATTCTACCAACCTCCTCCTGCCCATACTTCAGCCTTTAACCCTGAACCAATGAGACATCCCCAACCTTCAGAAAGTGACAACCTGGAACCTTTGGAAATCCAAGAACCCCTTTACCACCACAGCACAGAAAGTCAGGATACAGGACCACCAGGGCCAGAAAAGAATACTCCAACTCAGCCAACTCACCCTCTGGAACCCAAGAAACCTACCCCCATCCACTTTCTGGAAAGAACAGAAAAATTGAGCATTGTCTACAGCCCCAAAGAAGGAATGCCTTTCACCAAGGAGGAATATGCTAGAAAGGATTTGCAATGTTTGGTCAGCTCCACTATAGGCATTGGAGGAATAAAAAATCCAGAACAACTCAGACTATTCAGAATCCAATTTGAAGCAATCACCCACTACCTCATCAGAAATGGTCACAATTTCCACATGGATGAATTTTCAAACTACCTTTGGAGATCCCTCATCCTAAAGTTGGAAAGGTTCATATCAGATCCACTTATCTGGGATGGTCACCTGGTTTTGGATGGAAATTTTCACATTGCAGAACTACCACCCTATGATGCAATTCTGGAATATATTTATATGGAGTTTGAACAAATGGATTTTCTTCAAGAAGAACCTGATCAACCTGCACCAGAAATTGGACAAACAGATCAGAATTTCCATACAGTAGCCAACATGGAAGAATGTGACTCAGGAATCCAGTCACCACTTACACAAAATCTCCCCCCAGTACTTGATGCTAGAAAATGACCAATCCCTGGAAACCTTGGAACCCTTGGACAACACAGAGACAAAACAGTTTGGATCAGAAACAGAAATCTTACCAGCAACAATTCATTCAGAAAGATCCTCACCAAGTGCCTTGATTGAAGAAAATTGTTCCCCAGTAGCACCTGTAACCTTGGAATTTCCCCCCCAGATACTTGAAATTTGCAAGAAGTTGGACCCCTTGGATAGAAATCAATCAGCATATCTTGGATCAGAGAGTGAAACATGTGCAGAAAATATAGATAACTTACCAGTTGGACCAGTCAATTTGGAATCTTCCCCTCAGCTCATTGCTAATGACCAACCACTGCAAACTCTGGAACCCTGGATCAATGCTGAAGCAGAATACCTTGGATCAGAAAGTGCAATTTTTGCAGAACCCATTTCCCCAGAAGAGGACTTACCAGTAGGAAAATTTGTACAGACCACAGATAACCCTACTCCTGAAACTCAAAACTCACTGAAAATCCTGGTGGAAAAGAAAAATAAGGAAACATTTAGTCAGATTATAAAACCAGAGGATGTATCAGCCTTGGATTCAGTACAGTCATATCAGTCCCCCACAATAGATCCTACAGTATATTTACCTGAAGGAATTGGAACTCCAGATAAAACCAGCTCAGAAGAGAATTTTCCAAAAATTTATTCCCATTCACATTTAAATTCATTGGATGGCCATGGATCTGAATTTCTCTCATTGCATAAATCAGAACAAATGACTTCAGGAAGTTTGGACAACTGTATCTTTCAAAAGGAACCTGGTAAAACAAAAGAGACATTTTTTGAATTAGTAATTGGCATGAAAAATCCACCAGAGTATTTGTCACCTTCAACTCACCAATCACCATCTCCCCACCAACAGAATTTCCCACCCTTCAAGCCCCCTGATACCAGTCAAATTCCTCTCCAACCCTCCATGGCTAGCCCTGATAATCTTGGAACAAGAAAAATCAAGCAAAGGATAAAGCCAATCAGTGCAAAGAATCAGATAAAACCTATACAATCCTTTTTTGGCTGGCAAACTGCATTCAAGAATCAACCTGAATCTAAAAAGAAAAGGAAGAAGACTCAAAGTATATTGGGTTTGACATTTAGACAATCTGAAATCATACCATCAACTGTTCTTTTTAGAGCCCATCAACAGACTATACCTGCTGGAGCGACCGGTTTTGCGCCGCTGGCGTTGAATGGGTTGGATCAGAACTTAAAGAAAAATAGTTGGAGTGACCAGTTTTGTGTCGCAGGTGATGAATGGGTTGGATCAGAAATTCAAGAAGGTGTTGAAGCGACCAGTTTTGCTTCGCTGAGCTTTGCTTGTTTGGTTTGGAATACTAGCAGAAAACGGAAGAAGAGGTTGATCAGCAATCATTTGCGCTGGATGTATCAAAGAAACAAGAAAAGGAAGGGATTGATCTTACATCATTACATGTTGAAAAGTCTTGATTTCAGTTGGACTTTCACAAGAAAGATCAGAGCTGAAGTAGTTTTAAATCTCTTGAAGAAACAGGACAGAAAAAGGGTAAGCAAGCGACCAGACTTGAATGGAGTTTGTTCAAACAGAAGCAGCAAAATACCACTCGGTCACTCGATTTTATCACCCAAAAGCGTTGAAGTATTGTGGCAATCTTGGAGAAGTAAAGGAAATCAAAGGATCACTGAAGTTCAAGACCGATTTGCAACAAAAAGGGTACATAGCGAATTGCTTGATCCAGGAATCAACCACAATTCTGATTTAGAATGGTTGGTCCCACCAACATATATCTTCAGGAGACTGGTGCCTACCGCTACTTAGTATTGGACGCCCAGAATCTCGATCGGCTGATCAAGCAACTACATGTTTACTGAACTCACTAGCAAAGCCACCTAGTTGTTGGTTTCACCTGGCTGTCGGGCAGACTCTCCTGTTGAAGGTAGAAATACATATCCTTCAACTTCAAAGCAAGACAAATCATGAGAAATCTGCAACAAGACATCTGACATGGAAGAAAAATGGAAATGGAACTTGAATTTTTTCAAAAAAAAAAAAAAAAAAAAAAGAAGAAGAAGAGGAGAAGAGAGAAGAATTTTAATTTTTATTGAAACACAAGGCTAATCTGACTCAATCCTGAATCACCCCTCAAAACTTCCAAATTTGGGGGTGGTTGCCCCCTTCCCTGTTTCCTCAAGACACTTTATTGCTCTTCTAAAAAGCCTAAAAATAGATACTTATCAGTTACCTTCTCCAGATACTCCCAGACCCCCTGCACCTCTAATTTGGGGGTGGTTAGACCCCATTTTATTCATTCTGCTCCTCATATTTTCTTCCTTATGTTTCCAGATCAGTCATCTACCTTTTATCATTCCCTGGGCTACATGAAGAAACAAGATAGGGGAACCTCTCATAAAATATTGATGAATCAAAATCAAAATAAAACTAGAAAAAATTATTACATAGGATAAAAGTACAAAAAGAATTCCTCTACATATACCAACCATAAATTTTTGTTTCTTTCCCTTTTTTTGGCATTATTTCTAATCATGAATTTCCAAATTTATGACCAGTTTCTTTCTCTATGATATATTTTCAGTTTTATCAGGATTGTCTTTTTCTCTTTTTCTCTTTGGATGATGGGGACATCATCTAATTTGGGGGTGGATGTGGTAAGCCAATCCTGAAAATCCAAGCACAGCAAGAATACAAATCACACAGGAATCACAGGATCAAGGCACCCCAGAAAGCTCCCCAGACCCTCAAACAAATCAAGACACCACTCATGAATCCCTCAAGCACAGACCACATGGATAATCATATTTTCCAGCCAGAAACTCCCCACCCTTGAAACTCACTCCCTCCAAACATATTCCATTCTTCTTTCTCCTTGTGTCTCACACTAGTAATAATCCCCTTGCCCATGAAACAGTTATTTCCTCCTATCTCCTTCCATGGAATATTTTTTCTCCTTATTTACTTCACACTAGTAACCTTGGGAGCATTTGCCCACTGCCTATTTCCCCTGTTTCTATGGATAAACATATTTTCCCTTGTTTTATGCTCTCATAGAATGTTCCATTTATATTCCAACCACAAGCTGGCCACTCCCCAGAATTTTGTATATAAGGAGCTTTGTTTTCCCTCTTCATTTGTCCCTTATCAGATCCTGCCCCAGCAATTCAGATAACTGATCACCCATTATTAGCCAGGTATTTGCCCATCAACATTTGGGATACCTTGATTTGTGAACAAGTATATTTAGACTAGTAAACATAAGACATATTAGACATACCATCCTCAAGAAATCTCCAAAGCCACACCTTTCCTTAAGAGTCCATACTCTTATATTTTATTGTTATCAGAGAGGCAGCCCAATAAAGCACTCATCCCTCTCAAGCTCTATTCATCCCAAGAGTAGTTCCACAGCGGCCAATGCCAACAAAGAAAAAAAGTTAATCAATCATGTAAACCATTTCTTTTTTAGAAGTGATAAGAAAGGTCTTGTTGATATCACATCAGGTATTGTTCAGCAACCCTGACAGCAGTGATATGTGTCTTTTTTTGTAGATAGTTGTAACTGACAGCTTGGAAGATTGTTTTTGAGGAGTTGGATTCTCCAGGTGATTTGTTTATTTTTCAGCCCATATGCCTGAGCCCCAATACATAGAGTCCCTGTTCATAATTCTGTTTCCCTTTTTCCCTTTTTCCCTTTTTTTGAAAATGCAGTCAAATTGTTTGGATCCATCATCCCACCAATTACAACTCATTAGGTATCTGATCTACCCTATAATTCACCCTGGATTATGAGTGTATTGGTTTTACAAATGAGATGTAAAGAGATTTATGAAAACCCTTTTGTTTTGATGCACGTACTCAGACCCTAATAACCTTTTTACTCGTACTAAAACAACGTGAAATAAAACTCCATTTACATCGGCACGATGTCTACACCTAAAATAATTTATACCAAGAGAAATTAGATCTTATGTGACAGTCTCAATTGAAAACCACAGTATTGATGGACAAAGTTTGTATGCTACTCACTTCTTTGCTTACAAAAAAAGAAAACGGTTTTCAAGGTAATATAACAAGGTTATTAAGGATTAGGATAGGTTAACTGACAAGATGGGTGTGATGTTGCTGCTGGAAGAATCCCACACTTACTTGTAATTAGAAGAGTAAATAGTTAGTGGATCAGATGATAGAAAACTCCGAATCGATTAAGAAGAGCGACAAGCCTCGAGAATATATTTGATCATTGCATTTCCTTTGCCTTTACCTTCATCGATCCGAGTTTTAAAGAATTTCGCGGTATGTAGAAAGCGAGCTTGATAGAGTTTAAAGTCGCCATAGCTAATGCATTGACTCTAGCCACGAGCGGCGAGGACGAACTCGGAATTGTCAGTGCGATAGTCAAGGTTATGGACTGCAGCATGGATGGCCTTATCGAGTCTTTCAGGCGAACGGAAGAGATGATGGATCAGGCCAAACCAGAGCCGGAAGACGAGTGTGGCGGCAATCGCGAGAGCCAGCTGGTGGCAACAGCCGACGATCTCAAGGAGCGTCAGAATCTCAGATGGCTGTTGGGGGGCGAGGGACCCGCGCCGGGCTCGCCGATTGCGAAACTCGAGAAGACTTTCTTCCGACAGAAACATCGGTGGGACCGGCGAGCGAGGCGAGCCCGGCGGCCCAAAGACATGGTCCCGACCCGCATACACTCTTCTGCTAAGCCCTTCGTCATCGTTGGAGGTCATCAGGACAAATAGCTCGGACACCGATCACGCGAACTGGTCGATCTGTACTTTTGCAATCGGATTCATGATCGCTAGGCCAGCATAAACATGCCATTTGGATGAGTGGATGCGAAGAGTCTAAGTGTTTACATTCTCTTGAGTCCAGACTCCAAACGCAAGATCTTTCCTTTTGTCGTGGTGCGTGGAACGTATGTATGATGATGATCTTGGCAACCTCAATGCCGCCGATATAACGGCCCGAATCGCGGGGAATGGACCAGTAGCATGCGAGGCGGTTCTATTTGTCGACGCCGGCGTTAGATCGAGGCAGACAGGTGTCCAACTCAAGAAAACCCCAAAGGTCATCGAGTAAAACCCCCAACATCCGGGGAAAAAACAACCAGCCTCCCCAAATTTGGGGGCATATATGTACTAGTACCTTTATATGTAGTCGACCAGTAACTGCTCGAAATTCTCTGATCGATCGCAGACCAACAGCCCAAAGAATACCAAGAGGCAGGTCGAGAAACGCGGTGTAATTACTACGAGATAGTGTTTGAAGGAAGTGATCAATGGGGGGTTTCAAAGTTCGGTTCTGCAGTTGCAGAACCGGATTCAGGAGCAAAAAATCAGGAAGAAAAATTACCTGAATTGTCTCCTGCACCTTCCTTTTCCTGCATGAAGTGGGGCTGCAGAACTGGCTTTCCTGAAACAGGAAACAGCAATAATTCCTGAATCTGGTTGCTAAACAGCCTCCGGTACCAATTTTGTCCCCATTAAATCCATGAGTTTTTTATCTTTTGTCTCACCACTTCACTCGCCACGTTTACGGGGATCCAAGAGATCTCACACCAACCAACCTCGAACCATCAAAGTATGCCACCCAGGAAAAAGAAGACAACTCAAGTGGCGACCCAGAATTCAACCCAAGTGACAACCCAGAATTCAACCCAAGGGACTCCCTCGCGCCCCAGGAAAACCCCAATCAGCTGGGAGAAGGACGGGTCAAATGGTTTCTCGAGTATGCGATTACTCATGGATTGGCTCACCACACCTGGGAACTTTGTCCGATGGCGTGGTGACAAGCACAAGGGTTTGAACAAAGAGGCATTGGCTGGTGAGATCATCCTCATCTTGGTTGACCATGGGATCCATCATCGGAACAACAAGGATATCCGAACTAAGATTCAAGAGATTCAAGAGAGCTACTCCAAGGCCAGCGATTGGCTCCGGAACACAGGCCAGGGGGTGCTTGATTCAGACATTGCCGAAGGGACAGACAACGTGAGAGGTAATTCAACCACCCATCTGCCTTTCTTCTCATAGATATTGCTGAGCCATGTTTGATTCCTCTATTCAGCTGCACTTCTGAAGCGTTGCAAGTACTATTATGAGTTGGACGAGTTCATGGGCTCCCGAACATGCACGAATCCTGAAGACACGGTTGACACATCAGACCAACCGGTACCCGACCTCTTGGATCCGCCAACATCGAGTGAAAGAGAAAGTGAGGATGAGCCCAAAGGTTTGGATTCTCAACCTGTAGTGAATCAGTCAACGTCTTCCCAACGAACTATCCGCAATGCGACACCAAGGGCGCCTCCCACCCCCCTTGAAGTGCAGACTCCCATTGGTCGAGAAGATAAGTCCAAGTCCAAGGATAAACCCAAGAAAAAAAATCGTGGTCAGTCTTGATTTTATTTTAATTTGGAATTGGGAGTGTCTGGTTTGACTTACTTGACATAACAGGTCTGCCGGAGGGTATAGAAAAAGCGATTGACGAAAGTGCAAGCTTCCGTGTCAAATCGCTGCAGTCGAAAGATCGCCGAGAAGAGAGAAAAATAAAGGCTGAAGATGCACGGGAAAGAAAGCGCATCCGGATCAAAAAACGTCGTTTGAGAATCGAGGAGAGCGATGCACAGGTCCGTCGGACCCAAGCGGAAACTGAACAGGTTCGACAGCGGACTACAATCATGATCGATTTAAAAAAGGCTGGCTTTGCAGATGATGACATCAAGACATTCTTGGATAGCCAATTCAACCGGGCTCCTACAACTTCTGCCCCGAGTGAGGAAGAAAGTTCTGACAGCAATTCTGATCTAAGTGATTTGGTTGTATAGTCTTTTTGCTCATTACGTCTCTCGGTGTCTCCTTTGTTCTGGTCTGTCGCTTGATTTGGCAACTTGGTCCCATGCCCCATCTACATCTCATGCTAATGACCAAAGTTCAACTAGCATCACATCCGGGTGCCTTGAGATTGACTCACATTAGAGAAAATGATAGATTTTCACTTGCTTTGGAATGGTTGGGCTCAGTTGGTTTCAACCATTGCGCTATAACTTATCTGGTCTAAATATTTGTCATATGTCAAGAAGCTGGCTCTAGGGCCTGCTGAAGTGAGACATGAGCTGTGATAGCTGATTGGTCACTGGATCAGCGATAATCTGTTGGTACTACGGTAAAGGCTTGATCTCATTCCAGCCTCACGGGCTTCTGTGGCTAATATTTCCTTGGTCTGGAGTTTTCAAATAGGATACATGATACAGATCATACAGATGTCAAACGGTTTGAATAACAGGGGATGTATCATGCCATATGAGCATTGGTTTCATCCCATAACCACTGGCCTCCTAGCCACACTCGAAAGGTTTGACTGTTCATCATAAGATGGTAAGTGACCCAAAGCTCCTCCAACTGCTTGCGTTCAAGTTTGCGCCCCAAAAGGACAAGTCTCGCGCAAGATCACAAAAGAAATCATCTAAATCCACCAAGAAGGGCCTTAACAACCGTGTTGGCTTCAATTCCAAGGAGATAAACCCATCCGGCCCCTCACCAGGATCTAACAGCTCGATCAATCCGCTGGAAATCGCTCCGAAGGACATCTTGAATGGCGATGACTCAACAATTGGCCACAAGACCCTGATGCCGGCTTCTGGTGCCTTCTCTGGATCAGACAACTTGGATGATCAGCGGAATTCAACCCAAGAGGACGTCTTTGACAATGATGATTCAATGGTCGGCCAGAAATCCATGATCAACGACAGCCAAATCGATCCAAATCTAGATACTGCATCTCTGACCGATCATCTGATGATTGGTGAGCAAGTTCCGGACACCCCGGGACGTGGAGGAATAATTCGTGGCGCTATATCCGCGGCAATGTGCTCCTTCTGCGATGAAGTGCTCCCCGACAACCCCTCTGGCCGGTTTGTCAAGCAGAACCAATATCTGACCGGCCTACGTGAGGCCAAGCGTCGATTTAGTTCTAAAAATCCCCAGGCTTTGCACCTACCAGTAAGCCTTCTCTTAACCAGTGGTAAATTTCATTTGCCTCATACTGATCCATAAGCTTAGTTCCCCAGGACCGCCGATCATTGTCGACTGCACCGCGCAGAGCTAGAGGTGATACCTGCGGGCGTGAGGCAAGGGTGGCCCTTGAACATTGACTTTGAGATTCTCACCTGGTGGGCACAGTTCCACTGATTCCACACTCATTATATTTATCTGACCTTTGATTTGGTAAATCACAGTCGGGTTACTTCGCAAGATTTATACCTGCGCCAAATATGTGCTAGGGAAGTGCCATCTGGGTTCTTTGATGTGGCCTTGGCCCACTGGATAACCCTTGGGCCCCGAGGTGTTCAAACCATGGCACATGAGATGGCAACTTTCCATGTGGAGCAGCCTGGCTAGTTAGTATCATTCCTTTGTTGCAAAGATATTTCACAACGAGGCTAAGTTCTGACCTGAAAATTATGTTTTCTCCAGCTATGGTGTTCAAGGTTTTCGGATCATCATGCAAACCCTACGTGGCATGTACCCCGACTGGAACACACATCTCCACACTCAGATGTCCAATGAATACATACTCCGGAAGGTGTTAGTTGCGGAGACGGCCAAATGCCTCATTGCTGAAGACCTGGGGCTTGTGCTCACTGATCCTCAGGTATTAACTCATCTCGAACAAAGCCGAGCCTTTGGATCTGTCCTTTTTCCTGATGATGATGATGAGAACGAGTAAGGGAAACCATTTACTACAGCCCCGCCAAATAACTTTGTAGCAGTTTTGATTCATCACACATGATTTTCTCGAATTACGTTAGAATTAGATTCAGAGCCAAGAAATTCATCATGATGCTCAACAAATGAATATGTGGAAAAAGTTTAAGAACATATTGAAAGCATGAGATAGTTTAATAATCTAAGAGATCCTCCACCCCGCCAAAATACATATCAGTTTCATCATCATATGCGCCATCTAAATAATTTTTGCAGGCATTGCTTGTTCGAGTGGCGACTTGTAATGACATGCCTAATTTAGTAAAACACTTGGATTCAGTTGGTCTTAAAGTGCAATGAACATATTCTTGAGCTCTAAACATAATGAGGCATGCTGTATCTGGATGGAAATTAATAGCTACTTTAATATCACGGAAGATAAACTGGCCATTCTGAACATTGTAACCATCGGAAGCAAATGCGATCTTGCCTGTTTTTTTGAAAGTAGGAACAATCATTGCAAAGGCCAAGGGCAGCTCGGTCAAATCACCTTTGTCTTTGTGAGCATGATTGTAAAACCCATGTGACGAGAAGGCTAAATTGGAAGCAAAGCCAAAAGGAGACTTGTCGTTGGGATTTTTAGGGAAGTTGTTATCGGCAATCGAAGGTATTCCGTAAGAGTCCATATGCGCTTTATTTTTCTCCACCGCGACATTCCCAAAACCATGAAAAATATCCCATAATATCTCACCTGCTCTTGATGAGTCTGACATGAGATCTTCATACCCTTGTGGGTTCTTGTCGATGGATTTTTGGCAGCGGTATCTCCCAAGGATCTCAAGACCATCGTATCCTTTGCGCCAGCCGATGGCCCACATCACACCACCACAGGTCCGATTTTTTGAGGCCACACGGGAGATGAATTCCTTGCACCGGTGAAGGTACAGACACAGGAAGTTGAGGTCTTCAAGTCGCTGTTGATCCATGGTCTTAAGCGGAAGATAGTGCACCATTGCAACAAGTTGATTGGTTGTCTCATCGTATATCTTAGTGTATCCGTAATTGACTTGGGCGAATGTGTCTCGGACTTTTTTCAATGCTGCTGCATTTTCCTCATTGGTGGGATTACGGGGGAAAATTTGCTTTTTCGGTGGTTTGGCATGTTTGCGTGGGTTTTCTTCATGAGCTTTGACAAGACCCTTGTACTTATTGACTCGTAGGATAAGGTCCGCGGTGATCTCAGGAAATAAGTCGATAGGTTGAACTCGTCCTCTAATGATATGGATTCCAGAGGGTGGCGGCGCATTGGTCACATTCTCATTCGAATCTTTCTCTCGTTTGATCTTTCTCCTTTCTTTAAGACGTGCATTCCTCATTTGTTTCTGATGTGCATTCAAGCTGCTATATGTTTCATGATGTGCATTTTGAGTACGTATTGGGCTCAAATTGATTATCAAGAATAGCAATATGAAATTCCATCAGATCCAAAATCAGAACGTTTGTCGATGCCAAGTGGAGAATTTTCAAACAAAAGATTGATTGAGGGAGAGTAGTTTCCAAGAGCCATTTCCATCAGCAATTGAATCATTCAATAACATTAAACAAGAGGTGAGGTCAAAAAGCACAAACGAGGATCTAGCCTTTCGCTTTGGTGGTGGTGAGACAGACCGACATCGCTTAGGAGGCATAGGCCCTTTCATTGCCAGCGAACGCTTGAGCCGAATCATTGTAGTCATAATGCTTGCTTGAGGTAACCTTGCTGCGGTATTGTTTACTATGTTAGCCAACCAAACCAGATATGACAAGATCACTTGATAGAAAACCCACCCGCAGGCCTGGGTGACGTCCAATCGGTACGCAAGCAATGTACTAGACCGTCAGGAAACCCAATCAGGGACAATCGGAAAGGAAGCGATCTGTGTGTCATAAAATCACAAAACGCACGCGGGTATGACCCAGATGTATTAGCTAAATACGAACTGCCATGAAACGTCATGCAAGCAGGACCATGAAGCATGTGGGAAAACACACCTTGTGACCTAGTGACTGTCCAACTTGACCTCTTTGTCGTGTACGAGCCACAAGAACAGGTGATGTGATTAAGAAAAACGATCAAGCTGAAACGATGCTGAAACGTCGACGCAAGCGAATAGTAAATGAGCTGAGTCGGCAATCACTTTGCGTCTTGGTGGAGAGATACAAAAGTGATCGCTTGATGGAATTGAATAGATTCGATTGATTAAACTCGGGCAATCGTTTTGGATCTAGGGTGATTTGTTTAATAACAACGATCAAGCTCAAACGAAGCTGAAGCGTCGACGCAAGCAAATATTGAAGGAGCTGAGTTGGTGATCGCTTTGTGTCTTGGAGGATACAAAATCGATCGAAGGATGGAATCGATTAGATTGGATAATATCGAGCGATGGATTTGGGTATCGCCGGGATCGCTCGGAGGATCTACAACCGAATGGCCGATTTAATCGAATGGATTGGATTGGAAGGTCGTGGGTTGTCAACTTGGTCAACAAAGAATTGATTGATTGATAAATTCAGAATCGATGGCAGAGGAGTGATGAGTCAATAATTGGAAGAAGATTTCGGAGTCAAGCTGGGGTATTATGTAACGCGATCAAAAACGGTCGCCCACGCAATCGCTGTAATCACCTTAGTCGATGTGTATCCAGCTAGAATCAGGATGGTTTAGACACATGATTAGCACACATGATTAGGGAAAAGATCAGTGCAAGGAAAACAGCACATGAATGGAACAGAGAAAAACATACAATTGTAAATTTCCAGGTGGCAGCACGCCCGCGGTCATCGAATTGCAAATATAATCCAATGAATTAGACAAGATTTCAAATATGTAGAGACTCATCTGTGACATGCCAATCTGATGACATTTTGCATCACTTGGACAACCAAGTGGGCCAGTGGAAAGTGATCTCATACGGTTCTCAAATCAAATCATTTAAGCAACAGCCAAACATCATATCTTAGTCAACACCACCGAGCCAACATGTAAGATGGAAAGAATGTCATTGACCATTTCATCAAAGGGTTGCGGCAAAGAATGACATTGGGTTTCATAGGCTAACTACACAGATCCGAAATCGAACTTGCAAGGGAACATGACTTGAAATAGCTAGCTGAAATCTTATTCATGCAATTCCAGGACCGCTTTCTTTATCTTCTCACGAAACGCGCGTGCAGCTGCAGTTGATCGCTGCGTGGGTGGTTCCACTTCCATTTGTTGAGGAGCCGGGGCGTCTGTGAGGCCAGGGTCCACATCGTCAAAATCATACTCATCTCCTTGATTGAGGAAGTTGTGCAGCACTCCACAGGCCTGACAAATGGATATCAAAAGAGAGACAGAAGAGATGGCAGTCAGCCAATGGTACACTTATACTCAATGTAATCAAATGTACTTACTATTATCCAGGCATTTGCCCTCACTCGGTCCCTCTTCCCACCAATGCGAAGGCGAAGTCCTTTTAAAGATTGGAATTGCCCTTTCAGCCCACCTATGCATTGTTCAATCACCACCCGTTTTTGAGCAAGATAATAATTGAATGAATGTTCGTCTTCAGTTAGTGACCCATGTGACGGTTTTTTGAATGCGGCAACCACGTTCATTGTGGTAGTATAAGCTGAATCGGCGAGTAGAAATTCCCCAGATTTGAAGTATTTATCAGGGTTCAAGGTGATCGGAGAATTACCCATAACTCGGGAATCGTGAGAGCAGCCCGGCCAACCTGTGTACATGTACTGGATGTTCCGCTGAGAGTCACATACGATCAAGGTGGAGATACAGTAGAAGCCCTTGCGCGAGTAGTAGTCTGAGCCGTGCCTGCTGGGGCAGTCCGATAGGGGTATGAGTGACCCATCAATCACACCAATGCAGCCATCAAAACCATCTTCACCGTACTCAATAGCTCGAGCGACTCGTTCTTCTGCACTTGGCCACTTGAGGAGTTGAGATTGGATCCGCAAGATTGCCATGATGCATCGATTGGTGTACAACTCCACTGTCCCCTCGCCAACCCGGAAGAATCTTGCAAGCATTCCAACCGAAGATCCATTACCAAAGCAACCCAATCGCTTTAAAGTCACCATCATCTGTTCTTCAATAGGTCGTTGAGGGTTGTTCGAGTTGTTGTGGAACACTGGGTCGTCGGCAACACGCTTGCATAACATGATAAATGAATCTCTAGACATTCGGAACTCCTGTTTGAACCGGCGATCTTCAAGTCGGACCAGTAGGAAATCATGTATTGGTGGCGCTTGTTGAAGAGTTGTTCGAGGAGCGAAATACCGAACTGAAGTGACTGCCTTGAGTAGATGGAGCAGATCTTCGAGTTCCAATGAGTCAAAGTCTTCGTCGTCAGAGCTATTATCCTCGTCTTCATCGGAGGAGCTGTCATTGTCAAGCCCAAAGGCAAATTCCAGAGCGGAGGTCGTTACTTTCAGCTCAATGGCTGTCCTGACTGCGGTTAGACATGCCTTCCGTTGTGAATATCGAACCATGGTTTCTGTTGTGAAGAGTGAGAATTTGGCTGGCTTCGAAGAGTGAGAATTTGGCTGCGAAGAGTGAGAATTTGGCGGCAATTGCGTAAGACCAGGCCAGGAAGTTTTGGACTTCCCCAGAAGGGTTTTTACTGCTACCGCGGGCCAAAAATAAACACCACCAATGTGACCTGAATCTCTGGTTCTTGCCACAACCTTTTTGTGGGGGTTCAAAGCTGCAGGAGTGCAGGGAATTTAATTGGCAGGGGAGAGTCTTTCCTGAATTTGCACTCCTGAATCCGGTTCTGCAACTGCAGAACCGAACTTTGAAACCCCCCAATGACAATACGCAACTGACAAGGTCGCCAGTCTGTCTGCATACATCCTTCCCATCTCACCCATCCCGATCAAGCTCGGCATTAAGAGGGGTCCATGATAATAATAATAATTTATTTTAGTGTGTGGAGTTAAAGTGAAGATATCTTACATAGTTGTAATAGTCAGAACTGCAGAGTCTTCCAGATCTGATGAGTGGGTCTATTTTTGATTCCTGTCCCCAGTCCAGTCCACGGAGATACAGACAACAAACCACTTCCCCCATAGACAAGACAAGACAAGACAAGATGCCACTCAACGCTGCCTCAGGATCAACCTGCAGCATCAGACTCCGAGTCGATGGAACAGAGGCCAGGATCGGATGCCAAGAATACAAGCATCAGACGGCCATCAACCCAACCAACCGGGCCATCCAAGAAGTAGTCACCATCGAATCACAACAAGCCAGTCCCTTTGAGATCCTCATCGACATCAAACCCACCACCTACTCGGCCATCATCCACCCACTCGCACCAAGAGCACCTCACCAATCCCTAGTTGCAGAGGACTACATCTGCAACATCTACTTGGACGGCATCATCGTTGCCTGTCATCGACGCCCCAGATCGACCGCAGCCGATCCGAGCCGGATCTCGCGGGTCTTCTCACACGATTACTCCCGCATCCGAGCCCTCCAATTCGCCGCCGTCAATCTCGTCGATCCCGATGATTACAATGGTACGACTCATGACCAACAAGCTGGGAGTATTAGAAACCCGAGCGATAAGATCTGCGAAGATGAGACGGTCATCAAGTCCCTTGGAACGATCAGGATCGACGTCGTCAGAGCCACACTGGCCTATCTGCCTCGCGTCCCCGTCCGCAACCAACCCCCGACTCAGACCACTAATCAGATGAAATTCTCGGAACGCTCCAAGAAGGCTCGGCTCGCTACTACCGCTGGCTTGGCGCAAGGATCTCTGGCCACAAGCGCTCCTCCGGTGATGGAATGGCATGTCAGAACCCAGGATCCTAATCCATTCCTCCAAGTCGGTCTCTTCCTCTTGTCTCTCTCTCATCTTGAATATGGCTGATTCTCTTTTTCTTTTCTTGTTTGTCTGGTCCAATGATTCGAAAAAGTTTATCTTTAATTACAAACCACGAATGATCCTTGAAGCCGAAGGAACCATCCCAGCTCCCCCCCTTGCTGTTGCTCCTCCTCCTCCTCAACGAGCACCTGATCCTGCTCCAGTCGAACTAGTAGAGCTCGAAACAGATCCTTCAGAGAACAAGAATCAAAAACCTAAGAAGGGTAATAAGAGACGGGTTAAGGTGGAGGATGAGGATAGTAAAGAGCTCAAGATATCTACAAAGAAGTCCAAGGTTATCGATCTGACTGGGTCTGATTGATGTTGATGATGATGATAGTTGATAGTCACAACTACCCTCGATCTCTTTTTTTCTTTCCTGACTCTCGGTCCCATACTGGCCCGTAACTCTGTTTCCTTTTCTTCTCAGGTTCTTCAAGCCCTTACCATATATCTAGACTATGTATCTGTACAACAACAACAAAAAAAAAAACGGACTTCCCTGCTGCTGATTTGCTTGTGGCCTCTTTCGAAGGTGATGTCTGATGATGGGGATGCGCCTTTGTGGTTTTGATTTCAATACCGCACAGTTATATTCGATTGTTTTGTTATCACTATCATCTACTCTTCTTCATGATGCTCTGTTATGATCCATAATGTAGAATTTGATCTTGGTCGGCAGGGTCAAGCTGATCACATTCACATCTGATCTAATCTGTGCACTGCCAGAGTTGGAAGAGAGCACATGTAGATCATAATATTTGTTCATAAATATTTATGTGTGTTGTATGTATGTGCTTGATTTGAATTGTTTGAAATGAATGGCTGCTTGATCCAGCGAGGGTTTGTTGGGTCTTCGCCCCCTTTTGTATTAATGCAGTTCCCACTCTGCCCTTGAACATTCAACCTTCTCCTTTGCCTCAACCAACCCCAGAAAGACCAGCAGCACTTGGACATCAACATGCCAATCAACGCTGCCACTGGTGCATCCTGTACCATCAACCTCCTCCCACCACCACCAACAACAACATCATCATCATCATCAAATGATCAGATACCAGAAAAGATTCCATGCGAGGAGTATAAACATGAGACGACCACCAATCCGACCACTGGGGCTATCCAAGAGACTGTGACCATCGAATCCCAACAAGCCTGTCCTTTTGAAATCTTCATCGACATCAAACCGACAGCATACTCAACCCTCACCGCCAACTCATCATCAAAATCAGCCAAACTCAAACCGCAGGACTACGTTATCCATACGATCCTCGACGGGATCTCTGCAGGATACTGCAAACGGCCCAAGTCGAATTCGGATGGATCGGTACGGCTGTCTAAGACCTATTCGAGGGACCAATCGAGTTTCAGATCCTACCAATTCGCGCCGATCACTCTGGTGGATCCGGACGACTATGATCCTCGGAACCAGATTCAGGGATCTGCAAGGGATCCGACGGAGACGATCTGCGAGGACGAGAAGGTGATCAAGTCTCTCGGCACAATTCAAGTGGATATCATCAGGGCCGATCTGGTCCATCGGCGTCGAAAACCTGCCCAAAATCGGGCCGCTCCCGTCCCGTCTACCAATCAGATGTTGTTCTCCGAACGCTCGAAGAAGGCTAGGCTCTTGAACACCGCAGGCTTGTCGAACTATTCCCCCTCCAACCTGCCTCCTGCTCCTATGGAATGGCACATCAAAAAACAGGATCCTCAGCCTTTCCTCCAAGTAATCCATCCTCTTTTTTTTTCTCGTCGTCGTCCTTCCTTTTTTTTTGTATTATGCATCATCCTGCTCCTTGCGTGTTCAAACTGACACACTCTTTTCATCCGACGCTTTCTTCGACCGATATGTATAGTTCATCTTCAAATACAAGCCGAGAGTGATCCTCGAGGACGAAGGAACGATCGCCCGAGATCCCAGTCACGCTCCTCACATCAACCAGGACATCGAGGATGACGACCATGACGACGAACAGGAAAGCGATCGTAAACCGTTCCTCAAGCGCCTCAAAAGCGAAGCCACCACTGATAATAATAATGATGATGAGAATCAGGATCGGCAGACGAAAAAACCAAAGATCATCGATCTGACCGGGTCTGATGACAGTGATTAGGATACACACAATCATAATCTTGACTCTCTCTCTCTCTCTCTTCTTTCTGCTAGATCTACTTCTTGGCCTCTCACTACTGCACACCCATACACCCACACACCCACACTCTCTTTCTTTCTGGCCCCTTATTGTTGTTCGATTACTCTCAAACATGCCTTATTTATTTGGTCTTCTTGTCTGTCTGCTTCTTCGATTGAGTTTCAGTGAGCTTGTTTATCTCTAGGATGATACATAATAATAATAATAAAAGAACAGGAGGTGAAAAACCATGGACTGCTAGTTTTCTGATTACTCTTAGATGCATATATATATCGGATTCCATGATCTTTTCTATTCTAATATATACCGCTTGTTTAGTCTGATGGTTGCTCTCTCTTCTATCTAGTAACACTAGTACATGAATCAGAAATATGGACATTGTCATGCAACCTGATCGAGATACACGAATAAGTTGACTATATTGTATGCTATGAATGACTGATATGAGTTTTTTGATTGATTGGTCCTCTTGGATGGTTTTTGCTTGACATTGTTTCAAAGGTGCTTGTTCACAAATCATCTTATGTGGCCATTTTTTTGTGGGAGGGGACAGGGTTTTTATACCTTATGTATTACAGTGATTTGGGTTTATGTCTGCTAGGCTTTTTGAAGTCAGCTATCCATCCTGGATATGTAGGATGCCATAAGATTTTACAACTCGAGGTATTGCTGAGGCCACATGATATCCTCTTCTTCAAAAAAACCAGCATCAGCAGACAAGCTACATACCATAGAGCAGCACCATTCCTAATTTTTATTTGAAGATGCCAATCAACTCGGCTTCAGGTGCATCATGCCAGATCAATCTCCTCCAACCATCACCAAGCGCTGGATCACCCTCGATCAGGACCCCATGCGAGGAATACGATCATCAAACGACGCTCGATCCCACCACTGGGGCTATCCAGGAGATGGTGACCATCCAGTCCCAACAGGCTAGTCCCTTTGGAATCCTGATCGACATCAAACCGACAGCATACTCATCACTCAAACAGCAACAACAACAACAACAACAACAACATCCTACTAATCCTCCTCAATCATCAACACATGATCATCAATCGGTGATCATCCCAGAAGATTACGCGTGTAAGATCATCTTGGATGGGATCTGGGTGGGCTCTTATCGACACCCCAAGTCGGCATCCTGCTCCAAGAAACACATCACCAGGATCGTCCCAGCGGATGGGCTGACCTTCCAAGCCCTCCAGTTCGCCAAGCTCAATCTGGTCGACCCTGATGACTATGATGACGATAACCACCAGTCGCTCGTCAGCACCGATCCTGATCGATCGGATCTGCGAGGATGAGACGGTCATCAAAGCATTGGGAACGATCCAGATCGACGTCTTTCGATGCACTCTGGTCGCCCAACCTCGATGCATCACTACCGCAACGACTACTATTGTTCCGCCTGTTCAGCCGCCGACTGTCACGACCAATCAGATGAAGTTCTCCGAACGTTCGAAGAAGGCCCGGATCTCGACTTCTGCGGGCTTAGCTCAACAGGCAATCTCTCGTGCTCCTCCGTCTGAGATGAGATGGCTTGACCAATCAATCGATCCCTTTCCGTTCCTTCAAGTCGGTCTGCCTTCTCTCTCTCTCTCTCTGTAGTATTGTTTGACTGATCTGTTTGCGCGGGGAATCTGCAGTTCATTTTCAAATATAAACCGAGATCGATCTTGGAATCTGAAGGGATTCTGTTCGCTCAACCCGCACCAACAGTCGAATTCAAACCAGATCCTCAAGACCAAATCCGATCCGAACAATCCAGCAGCATCGACAATCATCATGATTGTAGTCGTAATGATGAGCTTGAGGCGCATGATCACAAGCGGGTTAAGGTGGAGGATGATCATGGGAGGGTTGGAGATAAGAAGCCCGAGATAATCGATCTAACTGGTCTTGATGACTTATAATGCTGGTTGTATCTTATTATCTTGGGGCTTTCTGTTATATCCTACCCTCCTCTCTTCAGTTTGGTGTGTTTGCAACCCCCCCTATAATCACGATGATTCTGTATCCTTCTCATTGTCACTGGTACACTTGCCTCCAGAATTTATGTATGTTATGTATCAGCTTTCTGGGGTTATGATTGTTCTTGATCAGTTGCTTCTCCAGGCCGTATAAATTGGCCAGGATATCTAGTCTTAGGATGGTTCATGTCTGGCTTGTTAGCTACATAATTTGCTGATCAACTGTTTTGCTGGTTGGGTGAAATTTTACAGTCAAATTGATATGTATGTCACTTGACCCCCCAAAAAAATGTTGCTAATTGTTGGTTGAAATGATGGGCTCTGAATTATTCTCTCTCAAAGTTATATATATGGGGGTAATCAATCTTACCGCTTTTTTTTTTTAAAAATATCATTATTGGCATGCTGGTGGCTGATCATCAGCAAACTACATAGCTAAAATGATAGGCATGAAGGGTCCTACTGAAGATGGATCTCAAACAACAGCAACATGTGTTCAAGCTGTCCATAGACTTTAACATTAGGACGGTTCATGTCTGAACTTTGGAGCAAGTTTTATAGCATTTATCACTAAAATTTTCCAAGTTTGTCCAAAATCTCAAATTCCTCCAAACCTGATGATTCATGAGATTTGACAAAATTCATAAAATTTTATCCATAAAAGTGCTAAAACTTGCCTTGAACTTGACGTGAATTGGCCTATTGTCCCAAACTCACTTCAATCACTACTTGTCAATTGCTGTTCTGGGGCACAGCTCACTTAGCCAAGTCCCTGCCCTCCTTTGTCTAAACCACTTGTCGCATTGCGCCGACCGGAGGGAGGGGAGGTTCCCTTCGGGACGGCGTCCCACCTCCAATTGGAGGGACTTGAGTTAAGTTAGGGCACAGCTTGTCATCAGCTCACATACACGCATACATCTCATCAGTATACAAATAAATATGTCCCAGAGCAGATAACCAAGCAGCTGTATCCTGCACCCCATTCGGTGTCGGAATTGGTGTTCCGGTTTGCCAACTTCTTGATCAGCACTAGATCAGGTCTCTTTCTCCAGTTGGGGCCAGGCTGAAGAGAACACGGCCGATTAAAGATGCCCATCAACTCGGCCTCAGGCTCGACCTGCACCATCAACCTCCTCCAGCCAAACGCAATACCCAACAAACTGCCATGTCGGGAGTACCTACACCGATCAACCAGAGACCCGACCACTGGGGCTATCCAAGAGATCGTCACTATCGAGTCCCAACATGCTAGTCCATTCGAAATCTTGCTCGACATCAAGCCCAACATCTATTTACTCAATCATCCCACCACAACTAGGACCTCTTCTTCCAGCAATCCGATCAAATTTCAAGACTTTGTTTACTGGTTTCACTTAGATGGTATCAAAATCGGCTGGACATATTCCATTGGACCCGGGCCACATTTGATCGATGTCCCGACGATTTCTTCAGACGATTTCTCGAGCTATCGTGCGCTCCAATTCGCACCGCTCAACCTGGTCGATCCCGATGATCATCCCGATCGGGGATCCCAAAACGCGGTCTGTGAAGACGAAAAAGTCGTCAAGTCCCTCGGCACGATTCGCGTGGATATCTTCAGAGCTAACTTGGTCCGCGAACCGTTCAGAGTTGAGGATCACCGACATGATGATGCTCACGATCTGCAAACTACCAATCAGATGGATTTCTCTGAACGTTCTAAGAAAGCTTTGCTCTCCACTACTGCCGGTCTCACTCAACACTCTATTCCAGATCCCTCTCCGCCCCCAGAATCTACTTGGGAAGTCGATGAGAAAGAAAAGGATCCATTCCTTCAAGTCTGTTGTCCTCTTCTTGTGCTTATTCTTTTGTCCCCCCCCCACCCCCTTATCCCTTCTTGTCACTAACTGTCATCCTTTTTTTTGGGGGGGGGGGATGATGTTCACAGTTTATTTTCAAATATAAGCCGAGAGCTATTTTGGAAGCCAAAGGGACCATTCCAAGAGCGGCTGGAGCGGCTGATTCTTCCTCACGATCAGGCAAGTTCAGACACGTTGATGTGGATGATGATGAGATTTCAATCGTCGAGAGCAAGCCAACAACTAAAGAAGAAGAAAAGGTAAGCTTCCAAGAGCAACTTTGTTTCCATGTTTTTTTTTTTCTTCTTCTGTTTATTCTGACAGATTACACGAACACTCAACCCCCTTTTCAAAACAAAACAGAAACCAAACCTGCGGGAAAACCCGATTGAAATCAAATCAGATTCGGAATCAGAAGCAGAATGTAAGTCAAAATCAGAAGAACGAGCTCAAAATCAAGAAGAACGAAAGAAGAACAAACGCATCAAGATTGTGAATAAACAGATCATCAAAAAACCCAAGACTGACGCCAAACCAGATCGCAAATCGAAGAGCAGATCAATATCAGATCGCAAACCTGTTGTCGTTGACCTTCAAGGGACAGTGTTCTTGGATCTGACCGGGTCTGATGATGACAAATAGCAATCGCATGTTTCATGTTATACATACCACTTCCTTTATTTTTGGTTTATAGGTTTATCGACCCAATCAAATGCAAACTTAAAAAATAAATAATTAGTATTCAAGGAGAGGGATACAGACAGATATACACACCCCAAAAAGAAGAAAAAAAAATTGTCAGGGAAGATGGGTGCAATGCGTCAGACAGGTCTGGACGGCTGGGTCGCATTTTGTCCAGGATCAATATGGGTGGACGAGGTGCAGTTGTCGTCAAAATTCATCCTTAATGAAGATCAACTGAAATGGCTGGTTGATTGAACGCTAGTCACAGCTTCTTCTCGGATGCTATGTACTCGGGCCTGCATGGGCCTCAAAAACCTGCAACTCTTCAACACCAAATGGTATGGATGAGAAAACCTAACAACAAAAGACAATGGTAGGGATGGATTGATGATGATGATGAGAGGGGTTTGGGATAAGATTGGCATGGAGATGTGTTGGCGCGCCTGCTTGAACTCACTAAGAACCAAGTCCCCCCCAATTGCCTCACTCGGACTCCGGTCGGCGCTATGTGACAAGTGGTTTACCGCCATGACGAAGGGCAGCGACTTAGCCCCAGTTCAATTTCTTCTTCCTGTGCGATCTGGGCCACGCCCCACCTTGCTTAAGTCCCACAAGACCAAAGAGAAAAACGAAAAGAAGAGGGGCGGTGGATGAGAGGTCGAGGAAAGAAATGGTGTTGATCAGGTTCCTAAGATAGCTGACTGATTTCGTGCCCATCGGCCCACCAAACCACGACTCATTAGGATTTGAGGTGAAGAAGGAGGTTGTATCTATCGGCTTCAGATAGAGAGAGACCGGATCTGATGGTGCTCACCGGCTCGTCGATTCCACTCGTCAGTGCCCTGTTCGTCTCCCTCATGCTCTCCTCCTCTGGGTCTACTTCCAGATCTTCTATCCATCGCTCGGTGTCTGCTTCCGGCTCGAGTCCTTCATGATCTCGCCTGCCCGAAGTGGTCCTTGCAGTCCATCACTTTTCTTTTTCTTTTTCTTTTCTTTCTTTCTTTTTCTTTGATCGCCGTTCAGCTTCACCCACGTATTTATGTATGTCTCCAAGGAGACAATCAAGTAGCTGTATCTGGGGGCCTATTGGGAAGCGCGGTTTCAGCTCGCCAGCCAAGACTTCCTCAAAAGAGAAGCTTCAAAGCCCAGTCCAAAGTGGCTGAGAGGCCGGCATCGGCGCAAGACGATTAAAGATGCCCATCAACTCGGCCTCAGGCTCGACCTGCACCATCAACCTCCTCCAGCCAAACGCAATACCCAACAAACTGCCATGTCGGGAATACCGTTACCGATCGACAAGAGACCCGACCACTGGGGCCATCCAAGAGATTGTCACTATCGAGTCCCAACATGCCAGTCCATTCGAAATCTTGCTCGACATCAAGCCCAACATCTATTTACTCAATCATCCCACCATGACGACTACCTCCAGCTATCCAACGAATCAATCCCTCAAACTCAACGACTGCCTTTACTGGATTTACTTGGATGGGATCGAGATCGGCTGGACGTATACCCAGGGTCCAGGGCCACACTGGATCGATCTTTCGACCCTTGTCTCGGCCGATTTCTCGACTTGTCGGGCCTTACAATTCGCCCCGGTCAACCTGGTCGACCCGGACAGTCAGGATCCGGATCCCGATCGATCGATCTGCGAAAGTCCTCAACTCGCTCGGCATCATTCGAGTCGACATCTTCCGATGTAACTTGCTCCTAAAACGCTTCAGATTGGCTGATCACCAAGACCGTGTTGATCTCAACCTGTGTAAGACTACCAATCAGATGGGATTCTCGGAACGTTCTAAGAAAGCTTTGCTCGCCACCACTGCTGGTTTAACTCCAGACTCTACTCAATCTACCTCCCCTCCCCCTCAGTCTACTTGGGAAGTCGACGAGGAAGATCCGCATCCATTCCTCCAAGTCTGTTGTCCTCCTCTCCCTCTGCTCTTTCCCTCTCGAGCCCCCATTCTTGTCAAAGTCACTAATTCCTGCCAGGTTTTTTCTATGTGTCTTTTATGATCTTGCTCTTTGTTTGAGTCTCCAGTTTATCTTCAATTATAAACCGAGAGCTATCTTGGAAGCCGAAGGGATCATTCCGAGAGCAGGTGGACCGGCTGGATCTTCTCCACAGTCAAGAAATATCAGATATGTTGATGTGGATGATGAGATTTCAGTCGTCAAGAGGAAGACAACAGCTAAAGAAGAAAAGGTAAGTTTCAAGCCCAACTTGATTCCATTTTTTTTTTTCATTTATGTGTTCTGACTGATTCCATACACACAACAAAAACAACAACAGAAACCAAACCTGAGGGAGAACCCAATCGAAATCAAATCAGATTCAGATTCAGAATCAGAAGACCAAGAACAAGATCACAAAAAGAAACATGATCATCAGAAGAACAAACGGATCGAGAGGGCGAATAAACAGGTCACTCCAGCTGAGACTGACTCCAAACCTACTTCCAAATTGCAGACTGTAAATCAGAAAACTGGGCACTCCCAAAAGCCTAATTTCTTGGACTTGACCGGGTCTGATACCGAGTAAAATGCACGTGTCATCTTGTATACTCGTCCTCCTCATTATAGGGCTTCCAATCTGATCCCCCCCCCCCACCCTTCTTTTTTGTTTTCTTTGGTTCATCCATATATCCACCCATTCTAAAATAGAATGAAATATGTGTATATGGAATTAAGAGATACAGATTTAATATGCCAAAAACAAAAACAAAAAAAAACAGGAAAAAAGAGTGGAAAGCGTTAGGTCTACTAGAAAGCTTGCTCCCTTCTTGTACATTCAGGATTCATATGAGTGAATCCTTAGTTGCTGTCAAGCCTCATCCCCAATCTCAAGAGCATCGCAATGGCTGCTTGATTGAGGAAACATCTATGTGTATCTGAAGATACATACCCCGGGAGGCAGGAGGAAGAACAAGTAGGCCAATTGAGCTTCGATGAATCGTGAACGAAGGAGATGGGTATCTATATATCCAGTAGGGCTCCCACCGGGTCTCAAGCTTGACGCGTTGGTCAACCGATCGGATTCCGCGATGAGCTGGGCCCGGCCAGACCGCCGATACGTGTCGGCTTCGGCTTGGGCTTCTTGACCGCCTTGCTGGTGGCCGCATTCTTGGTCGTGGCTCCTGACGCCATCGTCTTGCCGGTCGATCCGGATCCTGCCGCGGTCATGAACCGACGAGCTTCTTCCTCAAGCATCTCTTTCTTATATTTTCAAACAAAAAAGAAAGAAAGAGAAAAAAAAAAAGGAAAAATTGATCGTTATAAGATGGTTCGGGAAAATCTTGATCGACAGTTCGTTCAATCAAACGGTTGTCCAGCTGGGTACATAGCATCGGACGTACCAGGACACTCGACTTCCTACAGACTAACTTCACGTCTTCTTCTCGGATCGTACTGCGACCTGCATGGGCTGCAAACGCCTTCAACTCTAACGCCAAATTTTCTGTTTTTTGTTTTATAATTTCAATTTTTTTTAGAAGGAAGAATCAAGGATTAGTTTCTCATGTTTCTATGAAAAAAGAGAAGAGAAGGATCGAAAGAAAGAAAATGAGGATGGAGGTATTACTATTAGAGAAGCTAAGTGGACTTGCCTGCTTGGGCATATACCAGTTCAGTTAAGGAGGCCACAAAAGGCTCACTCATCGACCGCCCGAGTTCGATTTCTTCTTCCTGTGCGATCTGAGCAACGGTATACCTTTCATGATAAGTCCCATAAGAAACAAACGAAAGAGAAAAAAAAAAAAGTTGAAATTGATTAGAGATCGAGGGAGTAAGTGGTGTTGATCAGATTGCTGGGCGGATTGAGCAGACCGATCTATATCGTGCTGATGGACATACCAAACGGCTGCTTTGAGAGACTGGGATCGAGCAGAAGAAAGCGGATCAGGATCGTCTGTGGATGAACGGGTGCAGCAGCCGAGCTAGTCGTGCTCACCGTCTCGTCGATTCCAGTCGTCAGTGTCTGTTCGTCTCCGTCATCCTTGATGTCCCTCTGCTCCTCCTGCGGGTCCACATCCAGATCTTCTATGCTGTCTTCTCCATCTGTCGGCTTGCGCTTCCTGCTCGAATCTTTGAAATCGCCTCCCGTCGTCGTCCTTGCTCGGACCATTCCTTCTTTTACTTACTTCCGACTTCCCTAATCGACGGATGGCCAGTATAATAACCTAAGTGGTTTGTAGCGTCCGCCCGGCGATCTATGTATGTACTTCAGTCCGCGGCTCTGTCCTCCCTCACGGTTTCTTCGATTTAACTGTGTACAACATGTCATATTGGTTTTTCTTTAATCACTAGATTATTCAGAAGTTGTTCAAAGAAAGCTTACAAACCCCTCTTCTGTGAGTGTGATCCTCTTGGCCTCGTGGTTTCCCCAGTCCCTTCCAGTGATCGTAGTGGCTGATTGACATCTGTGCTGGTCTACATGAGACATGCAGAAAATAGGCTTTACATATCCCCACATGTACCCCCTTCACAAAACACAAATTCATAGATTATTTTTGGTGCACATAAGGTATTCAAAGTTGAAATCATAAAATCATAGATTGCATGAAATCATAATTCATAAAAAAAAAACCCCGGAAAAATCTATGCACTTCCCCCGAACTCTCCTTCTTTTGCATAAGAGTGCATGAGTGTTCCCTAACCGCACTACTAACCTTCCCCTCTCACCGAAATTCTGGCTTCAAAATATGTCCACCGTCAACTCAACTCAGCCATCCCAGACTGACGCCTCTCAACCTACTCAAAACACCACCCAAGCCTCGGCGACTATAACCCCTCACCCGACAAATCACGAAACACCAGCTAGAGGACGTGGGAGTCGCGGCGGCAGGGGTGGAGGCGCCCGAGGTCGAGCCCGTGGTGGCCGGGCAGTACAACATGGAGGTCAAACTCGAAGCCAGCCAGGTACTCGATCGGCTCCCCGCTCATGGACCAAGGATCGCAACCGAGACGGGCTTTCGTCCGTTGACCTGATTGTTGAATGGCTAACCGCCGAAGGCCGCTATGACCTCTGACAGAATTCCACTGTCAGCAAACGGGAGGTGTGTGAGCTGATCAATCAATACTTGATCGACAACGGCGGTGAAAGTCGTTTGTGGTGTGGCATTGAACAACAGGTATGTCTTCATACCTGTTCTATTAACTTGCACACATGTTGATTGGTTTGATCCTTCCGAGGTAGGTTACTACCCTTGAGAAAAAATTCCGTGATGCGCTGGCGTGGCAAGACCAAACTGGCCAAGGGATCTTGGATGAGGCCGATGAGCTGGCACGACAAGCTGGCGGCAACTCCAAAGATGAGGATTTTGTTGGTAATGCGATTACCGAGACCAAAAAAAAGATTTGATTGATTTGTCGTTACTTCTACGAGCTCGAACCGGTTATGCTCGATCGACCCTCCGCTGTCCCCTTGAACACACATGAACAAGGGGATGATGATGACCTGACTCGTGCTCTCAATCTCGATCGGAACGAGGACTGTCCCACTACCCCTGAGCATTGGAGCGCGTCCAAACGAGGTGGACCCGCATCACCGGTTAACACCCTAGGACTGCCGTCTCCTGATGTCATCCAGTCCTTACCTGCCACGGCCAGATCTACGGCGCAAACTCCTGTGGGAACTGGCACACCAGCGGTGGCACCGTCCCCTTCGAATAGGGTGGCCTCGATGTCAGCTCTGGCTGCTCAACGTCCGGATGCTCAAGCTCAGCGGCAAGTCAGCTATGCTGAGAGGATTACCGACCGGCTGTTTCCATCTCGGGATGAAATGGCCAGTCAAACGACTGCCGAGATTCAGATGAATCGTGACCAATTAGACACGGACAATCAAATGGTCAATGCGAACATTGCCCTGATCAATGCCTTAAGTCAAGACCTCGCGCCTACAGCCAATTTGCCTGAGCAGATCAGCCTTCAGAACCACCAACTTCGGCTTGATGTCCAGCTCCGAGAGGTGGAAGTTGCTCATGCCCAAGCCCCTTTGGCTGCCGAGGAGGCTTCAGGTGCAGCGTTTGCTCGGGTGAGGATGGTCCAGGACTTCATTGGATCAGGATTAGCACCAGCCGAAGCCCTTGAGATGACTAATCAGATACTCGGGCCGGTCTTGTTGGCCCCTCCACAGACTCCTGTTGACCCTTCCCCGCCTTATGATGAATAGCTTCTTTGGGTCCGATGTTAGATTCTCCTTGATTTCATGACATGCTTCATTTTGCTCTCACATAGTAATCAAACACAAGCCCAAAGGGAAATAAGAAATTTTTTATTGTCATTATATAGTAATCAAACACAAGCCCAAAGAGAAATAAGAAATTTATTATTGTCATTATATTAATTTAAACTTCTAAAGAAGCTGGCAAAACCTCTGAAATAGAGCATCTCGGCAAGCACCGTCCTCACACATAATCAAGCCTGGATCTTCCTCTTCATCCTCTTCAGGGTCAAAGTTTTGAACTGGTTGGTTCAGCTCCGCCCACTCTACTTCGCAGAGGTCAAGGAGATAGTTGTGTAATACAACACAAGTCTGAATCCATGCATTGAGTTGTTTGGTGGTCTTCTTACCAAGAATCTCGATTGAGAGCGACTTCAACAATTGCCACTGATTTTTGAGCATTCCAATTGTATGCTCAACCAAGACTCAGTTATGGCTCAGCTCCTAATTGAACTGTTGCTTTTCAGGAGGTAGGGACCAACTAGGGGATCTCTTGACGGCAGGGATGATAGTGTCTGTTGAGGTGTAAGCTGAGTCGGCAAGCAAGTATTCGCCAGCCAAAAAAAATCCCCGCGGATTCCGGTACAGCTAAACCATAACGGACACAACTATCAGCCTTTTACAGCTCTACAAGAGATGAAATCGTCCTACTTGGCAGTTCTTATACACTCGTTGGTTGTGGGCAATCCCACACCATCCATGGACTGCGTAGATGATTCTCCTCTGCTAATTGCAGACGATCAAGGAGTTAACTGCGTATACCATTTTGCGCATCCAGTAATCTTCTTTGTGCTTTGTCGGTGCCGATGCCAAAGGGAAAATTGTCCCATCGGCAAAGCCGATGCAGCCATCAAACACCGTCTTCCCAGCTAGAGTTGCGGTCACATTGGCACGCTGTTGAGTGTTTGGCCAGTACACGTGTTTTTTCTCCAACGTCTCAATGATCGCAAACATACAGCAATTAGTGTAGTTTTCCACGGATCCCGCTATGAAAATGGGTTCTGATAAGCCTTCAACTCCCTTGACATTCAAAAAAAAAGAAACTTAATAAACTCACGGCTGATGTTGTAGTATTGTCCAAGTACATGGGGAGAGCCACCATTCCCATACAAGCCGAGATTGGAGAGAGCAACTATAAGCTGCATTTCGACTGGTGCTTGAGGTTTGTTGGAGTTATTATGAAATACTGGATGGTTCTTAATTGTGTCTGCTAGTGAAAAAAAACTTTTTCGCGACATCCGTGCCTACACTCAATCAAATCAGCACAAGGATATAAAATATAATAGACAAAATCGGAAAAATACTTACATATATCATGAATACATCCTCAGTCGTGCCTATCAGCACTTCATATGTTCTAGAGATGGTAGCAACCCAAGGCCAAGGGATCCTGGGGACTGTGTATTGGGCCGAAGATAGCTGGTCGATCAATTGGACAAGTAATGATACTTGCCTTTTTGATTTATCCAGATTCTTTTTTTTCAAGTATTCATGAAGCTCGATGGCCAATCTCCTCAGTCGGAAGTTCACTAGAGGAAGATTGACAATGATGAGGAGAAGGTCGTTTGAGAGGAGCCTCTTGATCCTGATAATAGCAGTGATTAGACAGTTAAAGACGAGTTGATTTGATGGGTTCGAGTGGAGAGCCTTAGATTTCTGATTGGCCATCTTCATCTTCCAAAGGGATGCGATGAGCGTCATTTCCACCCCCTCTAGGAGCTTCTGGCAATCAGACTTGCAAGGCATGATTCGGGAGATGGGGCACTTATGCAGCCTTATGCAGCCCAGGGGTGCTCAAAGTCAAATGTGTTACATGAAATCATGAAGTGAAAAACCCCCGCCAAAAAAAAATATGCATTATGATTTCATGCAATCTATGATTTTATGATTTCAACTTTGAATACCTTAACAGCTGTAGCAGTTCAAATTTGCTCATGAACTAAGATGTATTTAGTTGAATTTGTTTATTTATGTTGGCAGGAGGGCATAGCCCTCATTTTTGGGGTTAGAGGGGGGTTTTGAATGAAAGGGAGAACTGGACTGGATTAATTATGTTACTTTAGAGATTTTTTGGTGATAAGAAGCAGGTCAATTAGCAGAATAATGATCAAGATGGCCTCAAAATGAATTAAACTGAAAATCTTCATGAGAATTTCATACAAATCAGAAATCTGGATTGAGGATTGATGCCAAAGTCGGAGATTCTGACACTCTGTTTGGGTATCTGAGACTCATGTAGGTGAGAAAATCTGTTAAACAGATGGTACTTTGAAATTTTACTGCCATTAAATCAGCATTTGATAGAGGGCCTTGGTTAATCAACTCCCCAAAATTGGAGAGTCGACTCCCAAACCCCAAAACCCCCAAAATTAGGGAGTCAATCCCCCAAAACCGTTGACCGGTTTGGGAGTTGACTCCCTAAAAATTTAAATAAGAATAAATAAAAACCCCCAGTTGGTTTGGGAGTTGATCCTCCCAAACCAACCAGGGTTTGGGGGTTGATAAACCAAATCAACCCCCACCCCACAGCAGCGGCCGGGAGGATTCCTCCCGGCCGCTGTGGAAAGAAAGGCGCGCCCTAGGGTATTTCTTGTACTTCTCAGCTCCGCAACGCGTCTTACTCCGGTTTGTTGTCCGGGGTAACTTGCTTGATGGTCTTGTAGGTAGGTAAAATAGCTCTCTTTTATTGTTCTTTTGTCGGTAGTACTCTAACTCTAGTCTATCTCTAACAATTCTTTAGGCTAATACACGATTCACTCCTAAGTCTCTCTGTTTTCTGATATGTTCTGAGTTATTCTTGTTGAAATTTCACTGTACATGTCACTCTCAAATCACAATCAATCGTCGCTGCTCTTGATCCGCAGCAAAGCAATGAGAACCGAAGTTCAACCGCTTAGGGTTGAACTTCCTTTGAGTTAAAAAGGACACCTCAGTCTTTCTCTTCAAACCTCAGACTCGACAAGATCCTCGAACTCTCAGCTTGCTCAAAAATCAATAACCTTCGCCCAAGATCCTTCGGCAATTTCCAGCTTAACCTCAATCCACAAAGACCTCACAGTATTGATCCCCTACTCATTCAGGAACTTCACCTAAAGGCCTCTTAATTCTAGTTTCACGTCCTCTTCAACGTGCTGTTTGTTATTCTCTTCTTCTCTAGTCTCTCTCTCTCTCTTTCTTCTTCTGTTGGTTGTTGATGAAATCGCTGATCTTTCTACTTTATTTATATTCTCTTTTCTCTTAAATTTTCTAGTTTGATTATATCAATTATTTTGCTTCATACTCTGCTCAAAGTCCTCAACCTTTTATTTCTCTATATCCATCTTCTTAGTGGTATGCTCCTTCTTTTGATTCTCTTTCTTCTTATTCTTTTTCCTTACATTCTTGTGTTCTCATCTTTTTTGTTTTTAGTCTGGTTTTGGTTTCTAGTCATCAATTCAATAATTTTTCACGATTAACAGTCGAAGAAGTCGTTACCGAACCGATTCTCGAAAAGAAAACCAAACCATTCACTAAGATCTCGTCGCGATGGAAGCTATCAACCCCACTATCCTTAAGACGACTATCGAGGCAATTCCCCTCTTGACCGAAGAAAATTTTTCCACCTGGAAAACCAGAATGATGGCTCTCTTCAAGCTTGGCGGACTGAAGGAACGCATTGTCGCCGGCGAACCTGAAGTCGAAGACGTTGACAACACAATCCTCTGTGCGATCATCGTTGCCAAGCTGTCAACCACTACTCATAAAAACGTAGTCAATTCAACCAATGAAGAGAACGTTCAGCTCCTTTGGAAAAGCATTCTCAAGAGATTCATATCCAACGAACCGTCGAATAGAGCTAGAGTCTACAACGCATTCGCTAGCATTACCTTCGATATTAGCAACATCGAAAAATTTATCACTGAAGTAAAAAGCACTCTCGTCAGGATGGAGGACGTTGGCATTGAAATGCCGGACGACATTCTCACCTATGATCTCCTCCGACGACTTCCTCGAAGCCTAGACAACATCAAGCAGAAAATCACACATTCTAAGGATGGTGAAGACATCAACCCCGAAACTCTCATCGATCACCTCGAAATCCATCTTAACGAGCTGAAAGTCAGCGGGGGTGATAAGTCTGAATCGATCGAGGCAACCATGTTCACCGAGGGGGACACTCTTTGCAAAACTGGGGTTCACAACCCAAACTCGACCTCGCACATCAAAGACAACTGTTGGTTTGTTTATCCCGAGAAACGGGAGGCTTGGCAGAAGAAGAAGCAAGGCTCCAATCCCAATCATGTTAGCAGCTTCTCTACATTCTCTTCACACCCTTTTAACGTCTTCATTCTAGACTCTGGATCAACCTCGCACATGGTCTCTGACAAGTCGTTGTTTATTCACCTAGACGAAACCAAAAAAGGAGTAATCAACACTAGCTGCGGCCTCAACACTCTCAGGATAGAAGGAAAAGGAACTATTAATCTTAGCTATAAAAAGAAATTGATTGTCTTTCACAATGTTCTCTTTGTTCCGAAAATCACTGTTAATCTTCTGTCGTTGCGTCATCTTCTTCTTGAGCAATATAAAATAAATTTCTTTGCAAATCATTTCACTATTAACAAGAATGAAGAACTATTTATGGAAGGAAACTATCATTCGAACATACCTGTTCTCAACTTCGACTCCTCCACTTCTCATCAGTCCCACCTAACCTCTGCCGAAATGTTACATAAATCATTAGGGCATGTCAGTTACAGTCGGATCCAAAACAAGATCGGTATACCAGTCACTGCTCCTGATACCTGTAAATCCTGTGCGATCGTAAAGATCACTAAGGCCTCTTTTAAAAACAGGATCTCGGCTGCCTCAAAGCCGTTTGAAGAATTGCACCTTGATCTCATAGGACCGATTACTCCCATGTCTCATAAGAAACATCGATACATCCTGACCATCGTTGACAATAACACCAGATACCTGTCCACTATTCCATTAACATCGAAGGATGAAGTTTTCTCAAATCTCACTCGTGTTATAGACCTTGAGGCAAAAAGGATTGGCTATTATCCAACCGTTCTTCACTCGGATAGGGGTACGGAATTCATCAATCTCAAGCTTGAAAACTACTGCCGTGAACATGTGATAAGGCAACGGTTCTCGGATGCTTATACGCCCCAACAAAACGGTCTCGCTGAACGATTCAATCGGACGGTGCTGGAATCGTTGAAAACTATACTGTTGGATTCCGGAATCAGGAGGAATTTGTGGAACAAAGTTTTAAGCGCCTGCACACTCACCCTGAATCAAGTTCCTACTCATCGTAGTAAGAAATCCCCCTACGAGTTGTTCAAAGCTCAAGTTATCCCTCTGGACTACTTCCGTCCGATAGAAAATCCTGTTGTCGTTCTCTCCCAGCCTAACAAAAAAGGGAGCAAGAAATCAAAACTCGATCCAAGGGGGGAGACGGGTCGATTAATAGGGTTTAATCCCGAGCTGAAATCTTATCGAATCCTCACTGATGAAAACCTCATCGTGAACTCGAAGAGTGTGACCTTTCTCAAATTTTCTCCTGCCGACAACTCCACCGAGTACCATGATGAGCTCACAGTTAATGAAAATGATGTGAAGCCGGTGGAAGTCATCACTCCTGCTGAGAAAGATGAAGAAGGCGACATTGAAGATGAAGAAGATCTAGACTGTCCTTCAAATTCAGAAGGCGAAGATGACCCAGACTCCTCTAGTGAAGCTGACGGCGATGACTCAGCTGAAGATGACGATGAGGTTGCCAGTTCTCTGATTCCGGATCAGGAAGCCCCAATCGGCAGAATCTTGAGAGATCGCACGCTGCAAGTCAAGCCGATCAAGTACTCGCACTTTTCAGAAGATCCTACTTCCTTCAGAAATGCCGTCTCGGGTGCTAATGCTGAGGGATGGACTATGGCGATCAAAGACGAGCTGGACAACATTGAAAAGCATGAGGTCTGGCTTGATCAAATGACTAAGCCGAAAAAACTTCTTAACCACACTTGGGTCTTTAAGACTAAACCTTCCACCCTTTCCTCTCCTGAAAAGCAGAAGGCTCGACTGTGCGTTCAAGGATTTCTTCAGACATATGGAGAGGATTTCTTTGAAACTTTTGCGCCTACTGGAAAGTTTCCCTCTCTTCTTGCTCTCCTAGTCCTGGCCATCGACCTACAACTGCCCATCAAGCAGTTTGATGTGAAGAGCGCATTTCTGTTTGCACCTCTCGAAGAAGAAATCTTCATAAAAACTCCGGAAGGGTCCTCAAGGACAGCACCCTATCTCAAATTGGTTAAATCTCTGTATGGTCTAAAACAAGCTCCGAAAAATTGGTACGAAACGTTGACTGGTTGGTTTGAAGAAGTTGGGTACTACCCCTCGACCTCGGATGCCTGTCTTTTCATTCACAAAAATAAGAACTCCTTTATTTTTTTTCACGTTGATGATCTGATAGTAGTTGGTCAAGTGGAGCAATTTGAAGCTCTTTTTCTCGAACGCTTCCCCAACTCAACTGCCCACTCACCTGATACGCTTCTGGGTATGAATCTCAACATCAAAACCGATTGCATAGAACTCTCACAGCCCCTGCTCATTGAGAAAGGCTTGGAATTGCTTGACTTGAAGGAATGCAGAGCCGTGAAGACTCCTCTGACGCCCGCTGTTCAACTACACTCTGCAACTGACAAGGATCATGAAGATTTTCTCAAACTTGGCATCAATTACCGATCTTTCACCGGAATGCTCAA